AATTATCAAACGTATGTATAAGTACTTTTCACATTCCCTGAATAATCAAACGTATGTATAAATACTTTCCACATTCGCTGAATTATCAAACGTATGTATAAGTACTTTTCACATTCCCTGAATAATCAAACGTATGTATAAGTACTTTCCACATTCGCTGAATTATCAAACGTATGCATAAGTACTTTCCACATTCGCTGAATTATCAAACGTATGTATAAATACTTTCCACATTCGCTGAATTATCAAACGTATGTATAAGTACTTTCCACATTCCTAATGCATTCTTTGATTGGCTGTACCCTCTAATGCATTCTTTGATTGGCCGTACCCTCTAATGCATTCTTTGATTGGCCGTACCCTCTAATGCATTCTTTGATTGGCCGTACCCTCTAATGCATTCTTTGATTGGCTGTACCCTCTAATGCATTCTTTGATTGGCCGTACCCTCTGCTGTGAACTGCAGTTTCGCTTATTCAAGGCTCATCAGCACAGCTTGGGTCAGCAAATCAAAGAAATACAATAAGGCCTCTTATAATGGTGATGTGTATTATTTATAAGACACTAATAAGAAAGTTAGTATTGAACGCAATCAAAATAAATCGTTTATTCACAGAGATATAGAGGTATAACTCAAAGAGGGATTTAGAGGTATAACTCAAAGTGGTTTTGTCTCTACACCAGAAAGAGAAATGAAGAAGACGAGGCGAGTCGGAAAATGTCACATGTCAGCTCTAGAAACAGTTCTAAATATCCGTTAGGATTGTGTGATAACGTGAAACCTGACCTGGAAACATCTACAGAATCACCATTCTCTGACATCTTCAGTGACTCTGGAGAGATTTCTACATCGGACAGGTGAGTTACTAGCTTAACGAGGTTTTTCCATCTGAAAAGCTGATCACCAATAGTTGTTTCGCAATGTTTAACGTTTGAGTTACAGTCTCTAAGTAGAACTCTGAAATTGATAAGTGAATCTATATTTATAATTATTTTAATATTCGTTGTATATATACATTACTGTCTAATGTGTACATTTGATTCATAAATCAACAAGTCCGGAGAAGGATCTGAATCTGACATGTGAGCCAAGAGCTTCTGAAACAGTTTCAGCGTTTTACATAAGTTAATATGGGAAGTATTTTCATATATGTTTGATAATTCAGCGAGTATGGAAGTATTTATACATACGTTTGATAATTCAACGAATGTGGAAAGTATTTATACTTATGTTTGATTATTCAGGGAATGTGAAAAGTACTTATACATACGTTTAATAATTCAGCGAATGTGGAAAGTATTTATACATACGTTTGATAATTCAGCCCTCTACGTCACAAATTATATTTTCAATTTTACCTTTGATGGAAAGAAAAGGAAAAAATCTGTAAACAGTTAATCAGCTCTGTAATATCGAATAATAAGTTAGGCCCAATGACATCATATTATTCATACACTTAAATTAATTTAGATTGCTATATTGTGAATTTAAAAGGACTTTAAAATCTCATAAATGCTATATTTTCTGGTTCATATTGAACTAAATGTGAATTTTTCACGTTCTAATGAAACTCTGTCAAGAAATACGCTTAATTATTTGTGAAAATAAATAAACTTCAAATATATTTACTATCTCAATACATTTGATTTTATTCTGTTAGTAAGTATACAACAACAACAAATACCAGTTTAAGCTCTTTCATTTTGCACAATATTAGCACAAGTTCTAGTTCGAACTCCGATCGTGTTATCAACTATGCAACAGCAACAACAAAAACTGTATCAATTTAAACTCTCATCTTGCACAATGTTAGTATAAGTTCTAGTTTGGACTTCGACCGTGTTATCAACTATACAACAGCAACAACAAAAACTGTATCAATTTAAACTCTCATCTTGCACAATGTTAGTATAAGTTCTAGTTTGAACTCCGACCGTGTTATCAAGTATGCAACAACAACAACAAAAACTGTATCAATTTAAACTCTCATCTTGCACAATGTTAGCACAAGTTCTAGTTTGAGCTCCGACCGTGTTATCAAGTATGCAACAGCAGCAACAACAAAAACTGTATCAATTTAAACTCTCATCTTGCACAATGTTAGCACAAGTTCTAGTTTGAACTCCGACCGTGTTATCAAGTATGCAACAGCACCATACTCGCTGAATTATCAAACATATATGAAATACTTCCCATATTAACTTATGTAAAACGCTGAAACTGTTTCAGAAGCTCTTGGCTCACATGTCAGATTCAGATCCTTCTCCGGACTTGTTGATTTATGAATCAAATGTACAC